GATAAAGTATATCAGTATAGTGCTTTTCATTTTTCTCAGGTTCATTGTTCATCACTAACACTAACTTCATTATCTTTACATTTTTAAGTTAAATCTTGCCATCTAGATTCTTTTTGAGTTTATTAAAATGTGAAAGAAAATACCACAGGACAGCAGTTCAAGCTGAAAATGAACATTAAACCCACAAAAGTAAACTTGGAAATACCTCCTTCATAATCCTGACATTTAATGATGTGGATTAATTTAAACTGTATAAACAGGTGATATCAGTTTCCCAGAATTTTATAAGAACTCATCTTAGTTCTGAACCTATTGGTTAAAATTGTCTAAACTGGAACAGATTAACCGTACAATAACAACTCATAGAACCAAACTCCTCCCTCTCTTTCAGAGCTTTAGTTTCTTCAGGTGTGCTGGCATTTCTGTCTTCTCAGTGAGAAAAATGCACATAAGCATTTCTACTCTCTCAGAACTGAATTTGGTCTCTAAAGGAGATCCCAGCATGATGATTACAGTGTGCTGAGCTGGTTGTTACATCACATGGTCCATTGAATTCATTCATGCTCAAAAAGGAGGAAATATTTTCCTGTGTTGATGCAATGCCTGGAGACAGTGACATGAGCAGAAGTATCACAACTCTTGGGAGATTAAAAGTCCAGTTCCACTCAACTTAATGTATATTCATCATAATTAGTACTGTATTGTGATCAGTCACTAAAACAGGCTCCAAATCAAGGAGGGAAAAAAAAAACCAACCCAGACTTTACCTTCTGGATAGAAAGATGTATTCCAGTCAGCAGAAATTATTTTTAAAGCTATTTTTAAGCTAAGGGTAATAGCTGTAATATAATAGATATATAGATTATGTGGATTTATTTCTCTCACTAGAGACTCTGTGACCAATGTAGATGGAATACCAGCAATGTCGAATAAGCAATAGTAAAACCAGAGTTTGACCTCAGAAAGAAAGAGAACCTGCAAATAAACTGATTTCATAGGAATCAGTAGAAGAATAGATTTCAAAATACACTGTAGCCTGGCAGTTATAAACTGACCCTTAGCCCAGCACTGTGGGCTTAGTGGCCTTAAGTGGCCTTAGCCCACAGTATTTCCTAGGCAGTTGTGTATCAGAACAGGAGCTAGCAGGGCAGATCTTCTTGGCTGGAATGGATTAGAGAAGGATAACCACTTGTGATCCCACTAATCCTGTTCCAGTCTGTCTGGGGATTTTAGGCAAGCGAGCTGTGACAGAACATTTGTTATCTGTGCACTCACAATGTGGTTGATTTCTCAGTTTCAGAGTTGGCTTTGCTCGGTTTTTTAATTACATGTATAGATACACTTGTTTTCAGTGTTTGCTTTTACTTTTGGCTCTACTTTTCCTATACTTGCAGAATTGCCAGTGCTGCTAAAGCTTTGCATCTTTGCTTAGAATTCTCACTAACTATAATTAATTACAATTTTTACACTGTGCTCCTTTTCTGACTTTGTATTTTCCAAAGTGAGAATCCCTCTACTGATTTACAAGATTCTTCTTGCTTTCTGTTCCATCTTGATAGTTTCTATAAGAGCAGACTTCTACATCTGCCAAGCTAAGGGAGGAAAGGATTATTTTTCTGTGAAATGCGTAGAGTTGATAAGGTGAACATAGAAAATTAGTAAGAACTACCTCTTGTTCATCAAAATTACATGCCAAGGGAGATAAAGCATGGTATTATGAGAATTACCTGATGCACTGCCTTCCAGAAACTTTAATTTGTTTGGCTTTGTATTTGGTCTGTTAAATAATATTCAAAACACCCTCCCTGTGAAAACTTTCTTCATTTACCTGGTAGTCTATTCTGAAAGTCAAAATGTAACTTTCTATTTTATCAAGTTCCTTCCTTCTTGAATTACCATCTGCATTAATATTGCAAATATGATGCAACTGCTGCAATATACTGTTGTCCTATCTGACATGCAAACCAACCAAAACTTGGAGAGAAGTTATTCCACTTAGGAGGCGAAATTGGTGAGGGGTTTGGATACCACTGAAAATCTGGTTACATGTAAGAATGTGGAAAGACCTGAGCACAGAAAGAATCAAACAGATTACCTGGTAATATTGCCAACGCTTTTTCAAATGAGAACCTATTGCAAAACCTGATTAGTTTTTCTGAGGCTATACGGTTTTCCTGTGTATTCTTCATGGGTAGCTCTGCTTTCTCAGTAGAGCTGTTTTTCATCTAACTGAACTCATTCTTCTTTACAAAACTGTACGTAGCAAAAGTTTCCTGAAGAAAAACTGGAGAGGTGATTTGGTTTAATTTAGCTCAAGAGGTATTTGGCTCTGTGTATCTATATTTCTAATAAAATAATATGGCATACAGAGAACAATAATACAGCCATACCATTCAGCACAAAGTATAACAAAACTAACTGGATTGAAACTTATAATATAGCCTCTTCTATTACTTACAAGTTTCACATTAGCTCTTCTCCATGTATGAGCCTGAACATTTGGGACATCCCTCTGAGTAGCTTATAAGTGCCAAAATATCCTCAGGTTATTAAAAGCAAAAAACATTCTTAAGGTCCTGCACCATTTAGTTCCAATATATTTCCCCAATAACACATATATATAATTCTCACTTGCAAACATGCTGCAACAGATAGTTAGCTTGCCTTAATCATCCTATCTTTTGCATATTACAGATGGTGTACTGTAATAATTAATTAATACAATGTTTGAGGATGCAAAGAGAAACAACAGTTTTGGATGTCATTTCTGGATTGCTCGTAAGTGGCAGCTGTGATGGGTGGCTGTGGCTGGGAGCTTTGTCAGAATTTAAGCCCCAAGCCCAACACCTGCAAGCCTGGTAACTAAATCTGACATTCTGTTTTCATTTAAGCTCTGGCATGGTGCAAGTCACTGTAATGTGCAATTGTTTCATGAACATGCATCAGATTATCTTGTGAGATAGGGCAGAGTCATAACCCAATTTTGCTTCGGGAAATTAACACTTATGTGTTTCAAATATTTCATACTGCACCTACTCGAGCAGTAAGATTAAGAAACCCCTTTTTATTTGCTGAAAAATATGGGTTTGGGTAAATGCAAATAAAAAAATGAACTTGGTCTCCCAAATCTGAGGTAAACAATCTAATCACTGAGATTCTTCGTATAAGTGACCTCCTTTTACTGTTTCATGCTTCTTCTCCATTGATTTTATTATAAGTGCTTGCAAATTACCTATTTGACAGGGTAGAAAAGAACTCTGACTTTCATAGTAAACAAACCTTTGGTTTTCATTGCAAAAGATACTGAATGTGATTGTGTTCAATTGATCTTTTTTGCTTGCTTTTGATACCTCCACACTGGAGATGGATGATCAGACTCACAAAATTGAGGTCATTATCATTCTAAACTGTGAATATGACATCCACATCAACTCTTCATTTTTATTTTTTCTCCTTTATAAAGGGTAGAAGCCTTAGCTATTTGACTAACACTTTTTAGACAGTTGCATCTGTTGTATAATGAAATTGCTGCACCTAATTCCCTTACACATTATTTTTTAATTCAAAATACAGTATTGAATACTTCTCAAAAAGTACAGGTTACCACCATTATCCTTGCTTAAAATTGACTTGCCCGGTTCATTAGTTTGGGAAGTGTCATCTGGGCTTTGCCAACTTTTCATCTCACAGAGACTCCCTTGAAAATCCTTTCACAAATACAGTTTTGCCTTAACCAATGCTGACTGTGTTTGCAAATTATCAGGTAAAATTACAAAAAGAAAGAGAAAATGAGGGAAACACAAAGGAGAGAAGATAGTGAAAGAGTGGAGAGAACAGAGTGAAACCACTCTCAGATAGAGATGGAAAAAATGTCTGGTAAGCAAGGAGAAAGCATTAACTGAAAAAGAACTAGAAGGAATCAACTTTTCTTACAAGCTGAAAGAAAAAAAACTGAAAACCTGTAAAATGGGATGAAATTAGTTTATGCAGAGGACAGAGCTGATTGATTATCAAGCTAAAATTATTTTAAAACATGATAGATTGATTGAAGCAACAGTGCCTCCCCAAGAACACTCAGCCCTGAAAGTACTGAGAGTATGGACAGCTGGGTATTTCTGGTTTATTCACCTGTGACACATATCTGACTTGGAATAGGCTGTGTCCAGATTAGTTTGCCCCAAAATATTTTAAAAAATAAATTTTAGCAGACTTTAACATCAAATAATGAGAAGACTGTCTTTTTGTAATGAGAAGCAGAATTGATGTTTTTTTCTGATGAAGATGAGAGTTTATTTGGAATTCTTCCATATAGACATGCATTGCATCCTTGAGCTCAGATAGAAAAGCTTCCAGGAGGATTTGCTGTACATAGTTAGAGTATTTCTACTGTTTTCCTGGCCTAATTGAGTAAATGAAAACATGCAAACAGCAGAAACGATGGGGAGTAAATTCCACTGCATTTTGTTCCGTTTGATAGAGGTTTTTAATTACTTTTAATTCTAGGTAATTAGACCCTTGCTTTTACAGAGATCACTCTGTCTTCTGGCAGGTTCAATACATGTGCAATGCCTAAATCTTGAAATCCTTATTCACTGATTTGTTTTTTTCTTCTGTCTTTGCACCATAGTAAAGTGCCACCTGTATTCTACCTCACCTGCACTTAAACATGGGCAACTGGGAAACAGGAAAGATTTTTAAACTTCCGAAATGTAGTAAAGGTTTCTATCTCATTCTTTTAACATAATTTTTTCTGTCTTGAGCTGTCAAGGCAAAATATGATTTTTAGGATTCAGATTGTGCTATTAACTCCAGGGACAAACATTATGAACATGCACTGAGTTTTACAACAGAATTTTAGAAATTAAGAGAGTCTGAGGCTCAGAGGCAGTTTGTGCATCCACAGCTTGAGCAAGCGCAGTCCAGCGACACAACTGTAACATCAAAAATGAGACAGGGCAGCTTTAAGAGAGAAACAGGAAGCTGTAACTAGAATCCAGCTGAATTCTGAGCTGGGGCACTTTACTATGAGGCTGCAAATGGAACAGATGTGCTTGCTGTGAATTTCTGTAGTATCTGGACTTTTTGTACCAAAGGTGATAACACTTCTGTTCCTGTGATTTTTTTTTCTTCTTTTATTTTTCACATATTTTTCCATAAAGGGAATGAAATGGAGAAGTTGAAGAAATACATACCAGTGAAAGATGAAGATCAGTTTTATCATCAGGGAGCTGTGGAGCTGCTAGTCTTTAACTTTTTGCTCATTCTTACAATATTAACAATTTGGTTGTTTAAAAACCATCGATTCCGCTTTCTGCATGAAACTGGAGGAGCTATGCTTTATGGTGAGTAAAAATTCAAGTGCCAGCATAACATGGGGCTAGTTGCATATTTTTGATCAGGCACTTGAGATCAAGTGCTGACAAAGCTCAGAAAATGTGTGAATTAAATGTCATCAGCTCCTTAACTGTATGGCAAAATAATAATGTAGCAGCATCTCTCCTGAAGTAGCTGGAGGCTGCCTTGAGGAGAGAGCAATTGTCATGAGCTGGTTATCCTCAGGATGTGCATGTTCTGTTCCTCTGTGGTCCAACAGCCACTGCATGACACCTTGGGAGTTGGGGAGTTTGCTGTTTACCAAAGAATGAAATGTCCTCAGTGGCTTTTGTAACACTCAAAGATATTAGATTAAGGAGCCTTGTGGGTACAGACATGTTGTCTAATAAAGTTTAAATGATCTTTAGAATTTTCTTTTGGTTTTGCTCTATGCCTTTGAAAAACACAATATGATGAATGCCTCTGTCAGTCTTCTCTGAATGCTGTCATTGTGCTGTAAGTTCAGTTTGCCTGTCTAGTTCTAATCTTTCATGAAGTTTTGTCATGTTACATATCGCTTTCCTGTAGAACTTCCTGCATTGTCCCCGAGTACTCACTGGTTTAATGGTATACACTTACATGTATAATGATTTTTCTTGTCATTCTCTTACTGTTGTTTCACTTTGAGAGATGTGGTTGCCATTTCTCCTACCATAAAACGCATATAGGAAGGTAATGCTGCCACAATGGAAGATAGAAATCAAGAGCTCAATCATTACCCATCTAAATGCCAGCCTGTTCAGGCACATTCTGTGCACATAATATACTCTAGCAGTGTAATATCCAAACCTGACTTTGTTAAGATTCCATATTCTGAAGAATATTTGTTTATCATGGGACACCACATACAAAAAGTTTCATCTGAAAGCCTGCAACAGCAAAGGCAACTGAGCCCTACATTTTGAGGTAAATGTTTCATTTGCTATATCAAGCATTTTCAGGTGATCTCAGCATCTTTGGAGGACTGAAGCTGAAACTCAGTCTTCCTTGCATCCCTTAAAGCTGTTTTGTGTGAGACATTAACTGTACGAATTTTCAAGAACACAAGCTATTTCATCTTCTTGGCTCACTGTCTTCACAAGTAACTTGATACTTTAAAGGAAAGCAAGCAAAAAAGAAACTCCTGTATTAATCCAGTCACTGAGCCCCTAACACTTGAGTCTGTGGGATTCTTCATTCTCATCTGCCTTGCCTGTATTTTAAAGTTGTGGGAAAATATTTCTTTAATAATATACTGTTTTTCTAATCTTTAAATCTGTTACACACAGAAAGCACACTTCAACTGAATCCGTTGAGACTGAAATACACATCACATGACACTTATTTGGGACACTTTTTGTTGTCAGACATCACCTGGATTGTTGTTTAACAGTTTTATGAGGTACAAGTTACAAAACACTGAGAATACATTTGCTTATTGCATTTCTGTTAACATGTCTCAAAAGGAAAATCATGAGACAGTGGGCAATATATTCATTATGATCCACTTGTAAATTGCAATGTTTTCCTAAATACATGGGTGCCTCTTCTATAGTAGCTATAGTATACTATTGGGCTGTTTCCCATGTACAGCTGATAACATTTGTTGAAGATTTAGACAAAAGCCTGTCAAAACAGAAATGAAATATGGAGAAATACAACATAACACAAACCAGTATTTAATTAGAGTTTTTTCTGTCCTTTGGTTCTATTTTGCTGCCTGCCCAGGACATACTCTGCACATCATGAGGACAATGCACTCATATTCTTTTGATCAGTTCAGAGATTAGTGCTCCAGCAGGACAGAGCTTTTGAATTATTAAAACAGTCATGAACAAAGGAAGCATTCCTCATTATTGTAAATAAACTACCTGTTTAGTCTTTCATTATTTATGGCAATCTTCAAACAGGGAAAAAAGCTTATTTGTAGCATCCAAAAAGTTGATGATGTCCCTTTTATCCTTCAAAATTTTGGATATGGGTTTAGTTATCTTTAGCATTGTGGAATAGCAATAATGAAAAGAAATTGAAATTTCAGAGGTCATGAGAGAAGTGTCAGATCAACAGCAACAGCTTCAGGAGTAAATCTGTGTGGCACCAAGCACTGACAGTGAGTCAAATCCTGCCCTCACATAATTTTTGCCTTCCATATCCAAACAATTCTGATTTATACCTGTTCAATTCAAACTCAAAGTCTCGGTCCTACAGTTTGCTTTGCTCTTGCCCATTCAGCTATTCATTAGATATGTGAATAGCAACAAAAGAAACAGATAATTTGGTTTTGAGTGACAGAAGAATATGGCCACTTATTGCAGACTGTGCCCCACAGCATGACAGATGGGTCTGTATTTCTCATCAAGTGTGCCATTAGAGGTGCAGCAGTGGAGAGGATAGAGAAAATGAAGTGTGAGGAAGATCAGGAGAAAAAAACCACAGAAATACAAAAACAGGAAGTTTTACAGCTACTGCAAAGTGCTGAACAGCCACAAATTGAACATAGCCTGATAGAAAGTTCTATTTAAAGTACAGAACAAATAAAAGAGGGGGTTGGCTTTTTTTTTTCTTTTTTTGCATCAGCTTTGTAGGAAAATTCAGTTTTAGATTGAATAGTTCCAGCTCATTAAAAAAAGAACATAAGCCCATAGTGGAAAACTGTCCATTTAGAAACTTTCAGAACTGAGGTGTTTCAGCTCTACTTTTTTATCAAAGAAATGGTTCAACACTAAGTATAGCTATATTTAATTTCAAAGTCTTTCAGTAGTTACAAAGAAAAAAAAAACAAAGCATTTAACATAACCCAGTATTAATTCACAAAAAATAATTCAGCATGAATTCAACATTATTTCACAAAAAATTATGTGCACGTATGTGTGTTTGCATATACATTGCAAGGCATTCAGCTTGAAAGTATTTAAAGACTCAAATTATTTTGTTTTGAGACCAAACTGAAAAATCACTCACAAACAATAAAGAATACAGATTCACCTGTTTATTCATTGATTCCTTTATTTTCCTGTATCTCAGAGAGCAAGTTTCTCTGCACGTTGCAGTTTGGTTTGATAAACAGACCTCAAATAATAAATTCAACTCACTTCCTGATATCTGTATACCAAGGAGGCAGGTGGTTATGAAACAATAATTTTGTGCCACCCAGAAGGGGATGAACATCCTTTCTATGCATTATCAGCACGGTTACTGTACAAGAGCATAGTGAGAAATAGTGTGGTAGATTATAGACACAAACAAAACCAGAATTGTCACTTCTCTCAGATCAGAGTAGGTGACCCCTCTCATAGCACCACACCCTAGAAGATACCTCTTAGTACCAGTCAAGAGACAACCAGCCAATAAAACACTGAAGTGCCTGTAGCCACCTCCTGCAGGGCCTGGTGTCTTTAGATACCTCAGCCAAAAAAACATTAGGTGCCAAATTCCCCATATGATAAGTAAGTCATGGCACTTCACATTAGTGGGGAAATAGTCTAGAGCTACACAATGAAAAACTGGGTACACATATCCCAGTGCCTCATCCTCCCCAGAATTTAGGTATTAGACCCTCACAGAGAGGCCACCACTCACCTCTGATGAAGAGGCTAAAACGCTCCTGCAGGTCAGCAGCCAGAATTGAACATAAACAAAAAAAACCACCACCACTCCCATCTGTGCCTTTTATCTGCAAGGTTAATTAGCAATTTTGTTGGAATTGTTTTCAGCTAATTATCACCCCTAGGGAGTGTGTGATACCCTTTAGGTGGAGGTCAGCCTGATTGGAGATGTACCAGCTTTCAAAGTTGTGCTCTGTGTTGAACAGACTGGAAGGAAAACATGAAAAGGCTGAATGACAGAAGAGTCACTGGAGTGCTCACACAAAACTGGCTTTGTGTTGCAGTGCTTAGAGGGGCTTCCCCAAGTTTTGAGGGGATGTGTGTGACAGGTGTGCAATGGGAAAGCTGACTCACAGCAGCCCTTCCCCAGCCTCTTCTGAGGATCCCATTCAGCATGTTTGGAAATAAGGCACAGGTCAGATCTTGATTCAGCTTTGGTAGAGGTGTCTGATGATTAAGCAATATGATTCTTGCACTTTCTAAATCCAGTGGAAACAATTGTAGTTGCCTTCTGATGGTGAGTGTGTTCTGAGTAGCCCTAATTCTCAAAGGCAGCAATGGATGTAACAAGTCTCAGAAAAAGAGACCTCAATAAAATAGAGTACTACATTGTCTTCCTGCTTACAAAATTCATAATGAAGAAAGATTGCCAGGATTCAGAAAACAGTATGGGAAAATCATGACACTTGGGAGAAAATCTAAAATATTTGGAAAAACCTGCATCCCTGAGTGTCATTATTAAGGAAGGTGCTTAATAGCTGACTAGATAGAATCCTGGGGAAAGAACAGCCCTGCTTAGCTCAGGAGTTTAGCATCAGTGACTTAAGAAAACCCTTCCAATGTTCTCATCTATGATTAAGAATTTTATCCTGCTTCCACTGAACAAGCTGGAAAACCTGAATTGCCTTCAGTTGAAACATGACTGAGCCGTAGTTAGTGAGGTTTTGCTGCAAAATCTTCCTTCAAAAGATAGTTGAGCCTTTTTAAAGAAATCTGTAACATTAGTTACAGCCCTTCCTGTTTCACTGCTGCATTTAAATAAATGTGCTTAAAACAGGAATTAAACGAGGCCTTGGTAGGAAAATATCTTAAATAATGGGCAGCTGAGCTGAAAACATTTAAAAGTAGATTTGGACACCTAGAATATAAGATAGGTACTTTGTGCTAGTACACTCAAGTTTTGCCTTGCATAAGGCTTTGCATTTACAATTATCTACATCCTTAACTCATTGAAACTTAACTATTTGAAACTTTCATTCATGACAACCCATACCTCAGTGCAATACCTACTTGTGATGTCAGGTAACAGGTGCAACATCATTCCTGACTCATCTCCAGGGAATTTTACCTGCTGAATTCCTAGACTTACATGGTAAAGCCAAACTTTCTGTGTGTGCCACTGGGAAATCAGAACTATTTGTAGAGGAGGTCTGTTTTTACATACCAAAGTCATAGAGCTTTGTGAGAAAAACTTCATGATAAATTTTTTCTGCCATGAAACATTGATTGCAAAAGACAAGTTATTGGTCTTTTTTTCCTGGTAAATACATCCACATGGTATTTCCCAGTTTTTTTCCTTTAAATGAACTATACAGCACGCTTCAGAAGATACATCACAAAAGCATGACTTCAGTCTGGAAGGGGGAGTAGTGGAAAGGAGAGTACATTATACGCTTATTTAAAAATTAATTATTTCTGTTAGAATATGATCTGGACTCCTGAATGCTCTTATGAAATAAATGCTATATAATGATTTAAAGTAGAAAGTGCATTCCATAAATGATACACCTACTAAAATATTAAATACCCTCTTCCCTGATTTTTAATTCCCTGGAGATTTTATATAGCATCTTTGGCACATTTATTATTATTGCAGGAAGAATACAATCCCATTACTTACATTGGCTTTTGCCAAATAGTGTGTTGATGGCAATTGTCTTCATCTGAACCTTCTCTCGAGCTTTTGAGAATATTCTGAATCAGCCCATCGTTATGGATCCTGTCCATATTTTGTTCAGATTAATATATTTTAGAATTTCCTTGGGAGTTGCAAGGACCTTAAAGCCCCACTGAAACCCTGAGAATATCAATTATTAGAATCTTCTCTAATGTATTTTCTCCAGTATGTGTATGCTGCTGGATGCTCTATAATTTCTTTGTTCTCTCATTATCATTTCATAATTTGTGTGGCTCTGTACGTTCCTCCCATCTGGACTCCATCAGAGGATCAGATCCAAAGCTGGTAGAAGAAAACCCAAAAGACAAACTTGAATTCCAGTTGTAAAACTCAGTCAGTGTCGATCTTTCTTTCTCTAAAGCTACTGTGATCATATATTTAAAATATTCATTTTCTGCAAATGGATTTATTTATACTCAAGAGCTGTCTTGCAGGACTAGGATCTGGATATTTGCATTTGTTTTCACTCCAGAAAATTCCTACAGAGGCAGTTTGAAATGACAGCTGAAGATAACATTTCCTCTCAGAATACAGAATAAAAGAACAGTCTAAACATGATACAACAGGTTTAAATAATTTGCCCTTGAACCATTCAATGCAATTGCACGACTATAATTGAGAACATTCGTTTTAATTTTTAAAACAATCAAATGGAATTTGGTTCAAAGGAAATGCTCTGTTAGCCAATATAGCACACCTACCAGGAATCTTGAAATATTGTAGGACACAGGACCTGACTCTACAACAGAGACATTACATGCAATGTCAGTCAGTCTCCACTGGTCTCCCTTGAGCAGTTCCATGTTGCCATTCTCAAAGTTATTGTGTGATTTGAAATTGAATTTGAAAACTGTGGTTCTCCTAGAGAAAATCTGATAAAAATAAGCTGAAAAGCCTGACTGTTTTAACTAATGACTGGTTTCTTGGTTTCTGACTCATGATTTTGGGCATCTAGGCTGACCACTGTAGAAATCATATTTCAGAGCACTTGCAGTGTTTGCTTCCCTCTACACACCCTTGCTTTCCCTTAAAACTTTGAGGAATTCTCTCTTTTACCACAAGTAGATTTATAATGTGATTTATTGCACAAATGCTGTGTAACTTAAGAAAGTGGCCTTGGGATTTTCTACAGCTTACTGAAATCCTCTATCATTTACAGAAAGCAACCATAGTAAACAATAGATATTAAACAAGTACAAATGCATACACAGACTGAACAGGCAATACAGCTGTTACTCCATTCTAGCATCAGTACAAGAGCCTACAAACCTGCCTTACATGTATGCCAGGAATCTGCAGTTCAGAGAATCTCTGTTATCAGAAAACTTGACAATAACAAAGACATCCTATTTATCTCTCTAGGTGTTTGTGATCACTTGGCATCTGATTACAGGACAAAACTGAAACTGTAATATTTTGTCCTGATTACAGGACAAAACTGAAACTGCAGATGCTTCTCAGCTACTTCCTGTAATTTATTTTCTTTCTTATCTTTCATTAGTAAGTATATCTATCTAGATGTTTAGATGTCTTCCATCAATATTTAATCTAAGTATTCTTAGCATTTTACCATATGTTCATAATTAGTAACTTTAAAGCTGTTCATCCTATACATGGTACTTAAAGCACATAGGACATAAAAGAAGCATGGAAATTGAATTTGAAACCAAATCTAAGTCTCTGAGGGTGGAAATAATCTCAGCAATATTATCAGCTAAATATTAGTCACCTCTCCTGAAGTAAACATGCAAGCTCCCACTAGAGCCAACAGAAAGAAGCATACCTTCCACAGGATAGTTGCAGAAGTACATTTTCCTTTTTCTTAAATGTAAACGGAGACAAAATATCTGTCTCAGATAAGAGTCCTAAATTGCAGATAGTCAAATCAATTAGTTCCAGTCTTAATCTTCCTTCCCTTCCCCCTGCTTTTATTGTCCTATGTTTATACAGTCTTAAAAATAGTCTCCTACAGAAGGCAAAATGTGCCTGAGGATGTGTCAGAGTTTTGTCCCCACAAATGAAGTGTGTAAAATCACCAACAGCACAGCTGATGTTTTTATGCTCAGTACAGCACATTAGTTATGCAGGCATCTCCCTGCTCTGAATATCTATTGAAAATTTGGTGCATGAGAAACTTAGTTAATAATTATGCCAGCAAGTGCATCACAAAAATAAGAATACGACTGCACATATGTCAAACCAACATCTGCATTCTAATGAAATGACTACTTTGGAAAACTATTTTATGGTCATCCATGGCGTGTTGAGAGAGGTGTATCTCTGTGAAGGTAGAAACACTGCAAAGGGGTCCTAACTTTGACAGAGTTATTTTTTCTCTAAGTCAGTAATTGTGTAGCATCAAATACTGAAAAGTACTTGAATCTTTCTCATTTTTCTTTTTTCTTTACTCTCCAGGCCTCGTAATGGGATTAATTATACGATATGTGACAAAAGCATCAGATGTAGAAAGTGGGACCGTTTATGAATGTGAAAAGCTGAAATCTGGGCCATCCACTCTGCTTATTAATATAACAAATCAGGTCTATGAATATCAATACAAAAGAGAGATCAGCCATCACAATGTCAATGGACACCAGGGCAATGCAATGCTTCAAAAGGTAAAACTTATTTTTGTTCTTAACTGTGCAGGATATTTATTTTATTTTCACTGTTGAGACAGGAAAACAAGTTTCAAGTTAAAATGTGACAGAGGGTATTTTGAATTTAGGGTGAGAAAGGTAAGCAAGGAAGAAGAACAGGAAAGGAAATAAGGTGCAATAGAAACCTGACCATCCTTTCACTCACAGCTGACTGTATGCTTGTGGAATAGTTGCCTGGACTCTTTTAGAAGGCAGCCCCAGATCCTGCAGACACTGAGTTCATTGCAGACACAGCTGTTAACCTGGATATTCATTGCCACCAAACCTTTATAAACCCCACTGATATCGTTATTTCTCCTCTGTCTTAAAAAGGACTTGCTCTGGCAGGGTAATGCAGGGGAGGTTGTCTCCTGTGTACAGCACAAGTAACTACAAACTCTACACATTCTTCAAAACACAAACCTGTAAGTGTGTAAACTCCCAGAGATAAGTTTTATAATTCTTAAATTCATCACAACATTCTTGGACATTCTTTCACTCCTGCAGTGGTCCTCAGCAGGGATTTCGCTGGCTGTCCCCAGGCTTGGGGAGATGGCATTGTGGCAATTTCGGCTGGATGAAAAAGGGAACTGTGGGGAAAAGTTTGCAGTCTTTCACAATGTCATGGCTTTTTCTGTTTTCCAGTGCATAACAATTAAAATATTTTACTTTGTTAGTATATTTTTTCCTCACCCATGTAATATTTACTTGTTTTAATGTTTACTTCCTTAAAAAATGGCAGCAATTTGAAGAACTCTTAAGTGCACAGGCACTTTTTAAAACCTAGCTTTTGTGCTCAGAGACATTGCATATCCACATGAAGCTTCTAAGCCCGTACCAGTAGCTTTTTACAATATTGCAATGTAGTATTTTGCTTTTTTCCAAGTGCTATTGTTTATCTAGCACAGTAATGTGTGTTCCTTTATATTACAGTGGTTATCGTTATAACAACTTTTAAGTTATGCTTAGAATGTACACTGGGAAGCTCAGCAGAATTAGGACATAACCATCTGCTCAAATTTCTTGCTGATGCAGCACTACTGTGTGTCTGTCTGCTGTGACTGCTGGACTTGCCCTTCTCAGAAAGAACTAGACTGTCAAGGACTGTTAGAGCTGTGGTGGGTGGAGACAGGAAAACACTGTGGCAGTCAGACTAATCAGGTTTTGCTGAATCTTCATCCATTTTCCTGCTAGTTGGTTGCAAGAGCTTTATCTGAGCCAAAGTGTGTGTTTAGTTTCCAGGGCATATGTCCATTCCATTTGAACATCTTCATCAAACCTGGTACACTGGAGCTGACTTGTGTTATGAAAAGGGAGGAGCACTAACTTGCACAGAAGATTCTGTTGCCCTTACAGGGGATTGCCCAGTTTTCTTTCCATAGTCTCACTTTGCTGGAAGATTCTTAAAAGTCTCAACTGTGAATTGCTGGTTTCTCTATATTACTGGAGAGGCCTTAGTCTGCCTGGATTTTCACTTCTTTTCCCTTTAAAATTATCTGGCAAATGCCCTCTTGAAAAGAAAATAAAGAAAAAAGGAAAAAGAGAGAAATGCAGCCATATTTAGGAGACAATAGCAATTGCTGGCAGCCTTCCTGACTGGGGAAAGCTCTACTGTAAAAAGCAGAAAGCATGATCACACCATTCCCTCAGTTTTGTACAACTTTAATTCCCTTTTGAGTGCAGTAAAAGCATTTACGTATTGCATTTATCAGAGAGAATAGATTGTGCCATGCCTTATAAACATGTACACATTAGAACAGGGTTTTGAATAATAAAACATGCAGTCAGGATTTCGGATGTCTGTGGAAAAGATATTTTTACGTATTTGCTAAATTAATTCCAAAACAAACATTTGAGGCTGTTAGTTAAAAAGTGAAGCAAATCTTTTTCTGTCATGTTTTCACTGAAGGTACCAGCACAGATACAGTTCTTAGGAGGTTATTTGCCAGCTCACTTTTTTCAGCTTTCTAATTCAAAGTAAGTAGGATGGAAAAAAGTCTCAACTCTCACTTCCTGTTTATCAAGTCAGGTTGTCTGTTAATAAGACAGAAGTAATTACTCTTACTCTTTTGAAACGAAATAATTATTCTAGAATACTGTAGCCTTAAAATATCACTTCATCTGAACAAGTAGCTGCAAGCCTTTGTGTTAATTACCTCCTGCCTCTTTTAAAAGTATTGATATAATACAGCCCACTGACAGAACAGTAAGCAGCACGCAGGCCCATTAAAGTATTTTTTTCTTCAGCAATGCTGTGGTTTTAAAGCAGATTCTATTTTATTGAAAGCTACTTGTAATGAGTTGCAATGACTGAACGTTGTCCTTGGCCTTTCCCTGTACCAGAAGTTGAAGGCCAATATGAAGACTGTACTGACAGCAGCTGGAATAGGAACTTTTTGGTTTCCTCATTCTAGCATTACTTTAAGAATTTTAATGGGTATTTTATAAAAGGTTTCCTTCAAAGGAAACATTACATCAGGTTTGGTAGTGTAGGCCTTTTCTTATATCACCCTTCTGCACATGGGGAATTGAGGCACAACGCTGCCAATGCATCTGCCCCAAAACTGAGCAGGAGGTCTGTGTCTGAAGCAGGAATTCAGCCATGGGACAGTCAAGTTGCCTGGTAGTGCAGCTACTATCACAGCTAACACTGCTTCTATGTGTTCCCTGGAACGTAGTACATGACTGATTTCCTTCTTGAAGGAATACTTTTTAAGTAATAATCTGCTTCATTAAGCTGTAAGGAACTACACATTTATACTTGCAAGAAAACAACTCAGAATAATCCTGCAGACATTGAAGGTGATCCTCAGATCAATTCTGATAAGAAGTTACAATTAGAACCTATCCTATCAAATTAAATGCTGTTTTATTTGTCCTTACCCTCTCTTTTGTCCTTTCTGGCAGATGACCTTTGATCCTTCCATCTTCTTCAATATTCTGCTGCCACCCATTATATTCCATGCTGGATATAGTTTAAAGAAGGTATGTGTCTCTTTTTTATATGACAAAAGGGACTGAATGTGGCTACTTCTCTGTAAGTCCGACAGGCCAGTGACAGAGGAAAGGGCCAGTTAACAACTATGTTGCACAGGAAGAACTTGACAGGAATGGCAAAAAATGAGAGATGCATGGCCTCATTCTGGTCCCTTTCTGCCGCTGTGCAAAGATCTGACTGTGTGGGTTATAACACTTGGGCCTTCCTGTTTTCAGAAGAAACCACTTTGAATCTGGTGAACTGCAGGCAGCAGCCTGTCTGTGTTTCATACACTGCCTGATCAGGGCTTTGTTTGTTCAAGGGATGGGGTCATGATACCTTTTGGATCAGATATTTTCAGTGTGAATGTCAGTTATGATCATGAAGCATTTGTCCAGACCCGTGAATGAGGGAACTTTGATGGCATTCCCATTTGATGGAAAAAAATCAAACATCTTAAATTGTATTTTCCAAAATAACTCAAGCCTGTATTGTTCCATCTTATATTTGAGATATGTGTAGTAACAAATGGCACTTCTAGATGCAGTGTTTCATCTTGGACTGAAAGCTCTTTTATTTACTGTATTACAAAGGACTTTTTTTCAAACTTTTCTCTCCAGAGGCATTTTTTTCGCAACTTAGGATCGATTTTAACCTACGCCTTCTTGGGAACTGCCATCTCCTGCATTGTCATAGGGTAAGTGAATGCCTTCTGCTATTATTGCATGCTTGATATCTTTTTCAATTAAAAGCTAAACTGTAAAAAGAATTGCAGACTTTGCATGGTCAATATAGTTACCAATTTGTAAGGCAAAACTCTTGGATAGCCAAGAACTGTCCCAGGCATTCAGAAAATTGTGTCCTTCATTTCTGGTCTATGACTGCTGCAAGCATGAGCTGCCTTCCACACTCCATAGGTGTAACCATCTGTCCTGAGAAACAGAACCATTATCTCAAGTGAAATTCCATGCTACTAGAATTCCTTCTAGAAAAGAGCAGATCTCCAACAGAAAAGAAAGGACTTTAAATCTCAGAGGGAGTAGGAACAGTTACCTGGTAGCATATATGTAAAAAATCCCTGGAGTCATTTCACAGACTAAGTGAAAACTTTTAGTTGAAGATCACAGGAAAAGCCTCAGTCTGGAACAATGTGTGAATTTAGCCTGGCTGTGAATAAATGGCTCCTGCAGAAAAAGAGGAAGGGGGAAAAGCAGAGGGACAAAACATCCTGTTTTATTTTCATATCTCCTTAATGAAAAATTTCTAATTTTGTTTCAAAATTTGCCTAACTAAAAGAAGTATTTGCTAGTCAGAAATGGATTATATACTTCCAGCTGGCATGATGTGAAACTTCTGTTTATCAGTTTGATTAGCTCAATCAAATTTATACAAACTGTTTAAAAATCCTTAAGTCAAGGATGAAGATCCGTCTTTCACAATATTTATGAATATCACACAGACACTTCCGCTCTCATGTTCTGGGAAAATTCCTGATTCAGGTGAAAATAAATGACAAGAGTTGGATTCTGCAGTGAGAGGGTCTCTGTGCCTGCACAGAGCCTTACTGAGGGAAGCAGGTCACTATTCACAGTTTAACCTGAGCATCACCTGGCATTTCTGTGCTATGGAGACAGCTGAGGTAGCTCAGTCTGTATGGTCTGAGGAGGTGATGCAGCAGTGCTGCATGTAAGTAAGTCTTGCTGAGAGGCCTTGATCTTGCTGGTACTGTGCAGAATTATAATGGAAAAAAGTCACAGAACTCTGGTGTTCAGACTTTAGACTAGGAAGCACAACATATCTTGTAAGTCTTATTTGAGGGCCTGGGCTGTAGAACTCTAAAATATACCATTTATATCTCTGCATGATATGGAAAGATATGTGGAAACACTTCAGGTATTGTAAAGGTGCTTGAATTTAAAACTGGTCCAAATTCTGTACATATAAATAGCAGTTTCAAGTTATAGAAGCAGTTAATTTTTTTAATGTCAGTCTTTCCCTTCCTTTATATTAAAGATGTAAGTGCTGCGTCAAGGTGTAAGGTCCTCGCTGGCATTATTATGAGATGGAACTTTCTCCTTTAATGCCATTTTAATGATAGTAAAATACATGAATGACCTATAACTTAGAGTTCAATGATTTTAAAACTATTCTTTTATGAGTATGCCATCATATCTATCTCGATAGCCTGGATTCCTAATAATCAAGTAGCTTAGTAAGCATAATGCACCGGAGGCATTGTGGTATTAAATGTTCTGCAAGCTGTGTTCACTCCAAATGTCAGGAAACTTTAGACTCTGCAATGAAAAATGACATTCAAAGTATGATCACCTTCTGTGCTGAACTAAGGGGTGCAAGCTCTGTGTGTGGCTGCTTCCCTTTCGGAAAGAAAAACGATGGCACATCTGTGGGCTGAGCAGAAAGGAGGCCTTCAATTCCAGACACAAATCTGTACCTACAGGAGGAATTGTACTATGTGTCCTATCTATTGGAGACAAAAAGCTTAACCTCACTTTTCTTTCTGAAATCTTTCTTTCCTTGAGAAATGGCATCTCATCACAAGTCGAAGATCACAACTTGGACAGCTGCACCACTCATATTTTCCCCCTGTCTTTATTTGCAATAATACACACCTCTCTGTGACCTCTGCTCATGGAGTTGTTTCTTTTTATACCCATTTATATGGCAAATAGCACCCCTAAGGTTGGAATTATAAATTCAGTAAAAAAATCTTTATCCTGGCAATGGGTTGAGCTGAATGGTAGCACATTCATGAGGTAACAGTGATTCTGGACCACAGTAGGACCCTTCCTGTGCTTCCTCTCACTTGTCTCAGCTATTGAACATTTCTCCTGTAAACCAATAGCTCTGTGAGACTGCAGGAAAGCAGTAGGACTGTCCAGCCCAGTGATCCTTTTGAACATGCATTTAGTTTATGACTCTGACGTGTGTCATTGCCCTTTGCAAATGGAAAATGCCAGAGCAGCTTTGATGAAATTGTTAAAAGAAACATAATACATTGAGTTTAGCCTATATTCCAAATACTTTCATTCCTGTATCCACACAATTTTATCTAAAACAGAATGAATGCAGATAGAATCTACTACAGAAAGTTCCTGTTAGGAACAGTTCCTACTAGCACTTCAAAGTTCAAGCCCAAAGTCAAGGATGAAGATCCAAATGAAACCTTAAGTTAAAGAGGAGTAAGAACTGGGCCTTACACAGTGTTCTGTACAAACCCACAACCCCACTGGAATCACTGCAGGGAAGGCACTAATGTATTCAGAGCAGGGCTTATGTGAATGTGAAGCATGTTTGCATAATGTACATGTCAGGATAAGAAGGAGATACTGAGTGCACAAAGAACAAAAGGTTATATAAAAACTTTACTGAAGAAAATGAAAAATGAGTCCTAAAAGAAAAACATGTCCTAAGAGAGAAGGGGTGAAGAACTACAGTTGCTGCTACAAAAGAAAGGACAGAACCCCAAGGTACTTCCAGGTTGCATTGCTGTGGACAAATATTTTGTGCATAGATATGATTAAACATGCTTAGTTTTTATTATATATGTGCAACACATACATGTACAGTACCTCAATATCCATAGGCTCAGGGTCTGTGTATCTGCAGCCTTGCACTGGGACTGTGCTCCTCCTGCCTGAGGGAGTTACAGAGCTCCCTGTGTGAACCCTGGAGGCTGTAACAAAGAAGGACCAGACCTCTCTTTCTCAACCAGAAACAGCTGGGAAATATCATTAATAAAGGACAGAAACATCCTTTGGATTGCTGCAAACTCTCAGAGTGCTAAAACGTTGCCATGGAACACACTGATACAATGGTGCCTGTCTCCTCTTTGTGAGTCTTTGCTTTTGTGTGAAAGGCCTCAAGAAAGAGGAGCTGTGTAGAATTTGAGTGAAAAGGCTATAATCAGATATTCCCACTGAGGGCAGGGGAAGGAGGGGTAAGAGAGATTGCTTTATTTTAGTGAAAACAGTGCTGAAATGTAATTGCTTTCTGCTAAATACTGCTCTAAGGAATGCCTGCCCATGTTAGCTGTAACACTGCCCTTGGCCACTTAACACACAGGCAAGTTATACTAATTTCTAAGCTCTCCCAGCAAAGCAAAATTATGCCCTTTGCACCAAGTCTGGCTAGCAAGGATCCATGCAGAGAGATCCCATGAGGTAAAGGAGAAATTCCCCCACTCCAAGCCTTTGCAGAATTGCTGAAATTGTTCCCTTCACAGCAAAGAGAGTCTGCTGACTCTGGATCTGTATGACATAAGATCATATAAGATCCAGTCTCTCAACAGACCTTTTCTCTGCCAGTGGTTCCAGCCTCCTGCCTCCTGAAGAAGAGTGTGGGATGATCACTGAGACAGCTCTTTATTCCTCAAACCTTACAGGTCAAGACCCTCTTAGGCTTTCTCTGATACAGGGCAGGCAGTCTCTTGCTGTAGCAGAGTACTCAAGTTTCATAGACTCAGAGAATAATTTAGGTTGGAAGCAATGTCTGGATGTCTGCAGTCCAACCCCCTAACAAATGCATGACTGGCTTCAAATTTAAATCCAGGTGCTCAGAACCCTGTCCAGTCAACTTCTGAGTATCTCCAAGAATGTGATTTCCACTGGCTTTCTGGGAAATATGTTCCAGTCTTAACCACCCTCACTACAACAACTGTTTTTCTGTATATCCAACTGGAATTTCCTTTGCTTCACCTTGTAACCTTTATCTCCCATCCTTTCCCTATGCACCCCTCAGAAGGTGGGTCGTCTATAACCACCTGAAGACAGGTCCCCTCCTAGTTACAAGAGAAAGCTCACCTGCTGCCTCTTCTCATATGTTATAGCCCCTAAATTATCTTAGTGGTTCTCTGTTGGACTGTCTCCTATCTGTCTTCCCTGTATCAGAGGTCCAAAACTAAACACACTATTCCAGATGCCACCTCACAAATGCCAACAAAGACTTAATGGCTTCCCTTTTCTTGCTCACTGTGCTTCCATGAACACAATGTGGTTTGCAGTTATGCTTCACAGTTGTTGTTGTGAAATCCACTTCTGACTCGTGCTCAATCTGATATCCTCCTGGGCTCCAGGGGCTTTCTGCACACACCTATGTAGCCAGCCATGCTCCTGTGGGACTGTTGCACAGGGTTATTCCATCTTTTCCATATGTACCTTGATATTAGCTCCGCATTATGACTGATTGTAAGTTGAAGCAGCACTGAGCTGAAGCTACTCAGTGAGCACATGAAAACTGTGCTGCTGAAAAATTAAATTAACATCTGCCCCCTCTTGCCTTTTCTTGTTTATTTTTTACATATTAGGCAGAGGCAGGGAGAAGGACCTAATTTCAACTTTTGCAAGGAATAGTGTTCCCTTCCCTTAGATTCTATTTTTAATAAACTGTGCTGGGATGCATCTTCCAGAATTGATATCCATCATAGATATTTTGAATTTTGATCATGGAAGAGTGCTCAAGTATTTGGAAGAATCTTGACACTATGGTAACAGCCTATTAGAGCAACATACTGAGTGGCAGGGGGCGTAGAAAGATTTGCATTTCCCCCCCCTTAAATCATCTTGACTTGATTTTCAGCATTTTCAGTGGCAGCCAGAGCCAAGATGGCTAAGCACAGGAGCACTGGCATCATTAAGTTGGCCTTATCTGTGATTTTTGATTTGGCTTCACTTGGGTTTTCTTGAATTGCAATGCCAAAACCACATTTTTGATATTCAGAATGCAGCATGTTTGCAGTCACTTACTCATATTTTTCCAGCCTGTCTACTACTTTTGGCAAGGCCTGATTTTTCTGGAATTTAAAGCTTTCTAAGTGTGCAACTCAAATAACAAATGTATTTGCAGACAACTTAGGCTAAGTTTATCTATCTTTGTGGCTGCAGTGAGAATTTTACTTGAAAAAAGCTTTGGGGTTTGGATCAGAAAAAGTAGGGTAATTGCAGTTTTGAGAAGGTGAAGTTATGAAATTCACACAACTGATAATAATGGTATTAGGGAGAGTCATTCCAAGATGATCACTGTTTTAAGGGGAAAGATGTTGGTGTTTATATCAGCTACTCAGATTGCATAACTTTCCCTGGCTGGAGAGACTTCTCCATATTTCAACAGTTAGTTAGTTTGACCTGATTAATTCCAGTATGTCTGTGAGTACATGAGAACTTGCTTTACAATAAGTATATCAGATTGTTTCATGGTAATCAGTGCTTTAAATTGAACTTCCTATTAAAAAACCCACATTGAATCAAACTATTTCTTTGTGCATCTGTTTAACTGCAGTGACTAACATTTTGGAGAAAGAAGTCTCTTTTGACATTTAAATTCAAGTGTAAAGAGTAAGTCATCATCATACTTGATTCTCCCAAGCAGTTCAAGAATTCTTTCCCTTGCCATTCCTCACCATTCTACAAATGAATATTCACATGCTTTCTGCATATGATCACTAAAGGGTGAGATTATAATAATAGGATGCAATACAGTATAATAAATATTTTCTAAATTCCTTCTTTTTAAAACTGAATCTTAAGTGGTTTTATTTGAAAACCAGAACAGTTTTTTGTTTCTATACACAGACATGTACATATATAAGTAAAAATTTATAAAAGAGAAAAAGAAATATTAAGGAGTATCAAATACGAATCCAGATATTTTTGTAGGGGAAAAAAAGGACATGAAATTGGGTGTTCCATCATAACCTTTCTATGAAAGTAGAAATTTTCAATTCAAATGTCTGTGGTATCAAGATTCCATCATCACATGATGTAATTATTTTTCTTCACTCTTAACTGCACTGTTTTGACAGCCCCTCTTTGTGCTTCCTAAAGGAGGAAGGGTTGGGCTGAGTTAATAACATTGTTGCTCAAATGCAGCAAGGGCAAGAAATGTTCAATTTTTCTTTACACGGTTTACATGGGTAAGATGCATTCTGACATAACTATACAGTCAGAGATTTAGTTCTCTCATCATTATACTTATACAAATGCAATTCTAAAAGTTAGGAGACAAATTCCTTCCACTGGCATACCATTAAAAAAAGACTATCTACAATTAAAAATTTTTAGTAGAAAACAGTCTTTCAAAACAAACAATCCAACAAAAGTGTAACATTTTGTATGTGTGTGGTGTATTCATTTCCTCCTAAAAATGTCAGCTTGTTTTACAGCCACCTTCTCACCTACAAGTCTCTTGCTGTGGCCTCCTAGGAACATGGGGTGGGACTGGGGATGTACAGATATAGTGTTGACACAGGTTCCACCTCTCCCTGAGCATGGAGCAGGCAGTGCACACCTGAGAGGTTCAGCAGGCAATAGTTGTGGTTACTGAGCACGGCTGGGGATTTCTTTTTATTTTCATAGATACTTTGATAGTTTGGCAAAGGCTAGATGGAGGTTTAGTTAGGTTGTTAGTGTGTTTATTACTTTCTGTTGGGAGCTCAATGGAATATACAAATGGGATCTGCTGATGTGAAACAGTCCTGAGTTTATAATCTGACTGTTCTTTCTCACTGGAGGGCTAGAGATAGACTTTACAACTTGGAAACAAAATACTTGTAGCTGTGTGCTTCAGCAGAGCAAAGCCAAATGTTGTTTGGCTTGAATTTACTGTGTAGTGCTGTGGGATTCTTCTGGATTTTGGAACTGTTTCTGCAAGGGAAAATGGGGCCAGGTTAAGGGTAACAGGAAAAAAAATCTCTCAGAGCTCTCCGTAAACTAAGCAAATACCTTTACAAGGATCATCTATTGCTACACCAGCTCAGCTCTTGTCTTTCCAGATGATAACTTCTGTAATAATTTAGACTCAGTTCATGTTCAAAGAAAGTAGTATTTTTTTTCTGATTAAAATACTGTTTTCTACTGCATGTTCCCATCAAATGATAAAAAAACCTAGGTCCATCTTTCCTCCACACACCACCTGTAAATAGCAAATGCTTAACCTCCCTACAGGCAAGAATAAAAGCTTTATTCTTGGTACAAATACAAACTGGTGAGGAGGAGTGTTAATGTATCTTCATGCTGTAGAAATTAACTGAGGGAGAAATAGGGAAAAATTATATATAGACCATTTTCCCTCCTCCATAGTAAAACCCTCAGAACATAATTTCTAATGCTCTTTTGAAGCTGATATTCAGCCTAAGAGTGGAAATAAAGACAAAACTAGTAAGCAGACATTGATTTGAAGAGTACAGTGCCTGTGTTTGTAAGGGTAGAGGGCCTGTGTTGGTACCCTTTTTGGGGGGTTCGGCTGCTTTCGTGTCCCATCCTGGAGTGAATGCAGGCATTTTCTGTCAGTCAGTATTGCCCCAGTTTTGCATTGACTTGAGGAAACTCAACGGAGATGATTTAGCTGAAAAACCAAGCCAAGTCTCTCCAGGGTCCTCCAAAGAAGGCAGCCTAACAATGAGTTTTCCAGCAGGAAAAGAGCTAGTGTTTAGTTGTCCATGTGCAGCTCAGTTTCCCAACTCAGTAGCTTTGATTCTTTGGTCAGTCCAAATCTAAGATCATTCTGTTGCAGTCTGTGGAGTTGCCACCTGCAACTCATAGATGCAGTTGCAAGGGTTAATTCCTATGTATCACTTTTGTTTAAAGGTGTGTAGTGAATCCAAAATGGGTTAGTAAAGTGTGAGTTTAGAGAAGCTTGAAAATACGCACCCACTGTGATACCTCGTTTGGGGGATTCTGCACAGGGAGTAAAGAGGGAAAAGGCTTCCTCATAGCCATAACTCTCAGAGAGTTCTAGCAGTTCTAGAAGTTATAAAGTATTAAAAAAAGCCTTCTATTTGTATGACTTGTGAAATTGTGGATAAGAAGCTGGGTTAAATGAAGACTGATATAAAATAGTGTTTCCCAGACCACTAACACCCACACAGAGTGAAAAGTTCTTCCAAGAGTACTTTGATGCCTTCAAGTATGTGTTGTTGAAAGTTCAGTCAGAATTTGTAGCTATTTCGCAATAAACATCTGACATTGTTTACTGCAGCAAAGCTGATCAAGCAGAAAACAGTTTTTCTTCTCATAAACAGATGTGATGAGCAGCAGGGTGTAATTATTTGTATCGTCCAGAAGAACTCCTCAGCATACTAAGGATTTTGAAAGAAATATATTACAGGGAACACCAAAGGTGTGGGGCTGCAGAGACAAGCAGAACCTGGAATAGCAGGAGATTCATCTAAAATAAAAAGGCTGCTTAATTTGGTATTTGATACCCAGTAGGTTCTCCAGGAACCCATCAAAAAATTTAAATTATGTGCTCTTCTGAAAAACATGAGAACAGCATTTGTTGCAAAACAGCCAAAACACTCAAGTCCAGATATTTCCCAAGAAGAAACCCACCCTGGAGGGACGAGTTTGTTTGTGGGGCTTTTGTTTGGTTTTGTGGGGGTTTTTTGCAAACTGTCTTCCCAGCTGCCTTGAAAGCCAAAGCTTTTACTGCAGGAATTAATACTTTTGGATAGATCTCCTAATGTCTTCTCCCTGATATTCATGGATCCTTTAAGAATTGACACCCAGTGTGGTCTCCAAAGACTGCCATCGCTTATTTCTCTGGCTATAGATCACCTCTACACCTGTACAACAGCTTCCTTGGCTGCAGCATCATTTGGAAGTCTCAAGTTTGCAAGACTGCTTTCACAGTCTCTATATTGACTTTCAGGGAAAACATCTTTACAGAGCAGGTGAAATGGAAAATATGCATCCCTTATGGCCCCTATTCCTGACATCCACTGCCTTTCTCAGTACATACGATCTTCCCAGAAAAATTCCAGGCTACAGAGGAGATGAAAACAGAAGGAGAAGGAGATACATTGACTGTGATTAGTTCATTTTCCATCTCATACAGATATTTTTCCACACTGCATGAGAAACCTGCACACCAAGCCTATGACTGAGGAGGGTATGTCCCCTTCAGGCCATGCTGTGCATTACTCCAGGCCCTACATACCTGTATGGCTTTGCCAGGTAGTGAGCCAGGCCACGTTTCCCTCTGAATCAAAATGGGCAACAATGTGACCTCTGTCATGCGCACGGGAACTTGTGAATTGGTTGAAAAGTCCTTTGAGCTGTTTCACTGTGAAAGGTGTAAGAGAAATTTAAAACAGAGGAGGAGAAACCTATTCTACTTCAGTAGCATGGAGCTGCCTTTAGTCTCTTCAAACTGGGGGGATTACTGTTAGATAAAATGCTGAGCAAGATTTGGAAGTGTACAGGCAGTAGCTCGTTGGAGCAGGAATAGAGTGGGTGATGCAGCTCTCCTACCTGTTACCTTGAATATTTCATGTCAACTCAAAAGATGCTTTTTTCTCCCACCCACCACCGTTTTGCATATCCCTCTTCTGAGCCAGTTGATCAAACAGTGCACTTGCATCTGACAAATCTTTTACAGAGCACAATTGCTATTAGGCTGAAATGTTCTGTAAACACACAAGTTTTCGTGATGGCCCTGGGACAGATCCTACACTCACTGGGGACAAAACCTACAAAAGCTGGTCTGATCAAGTAACCAGATTCTCTGCAGAATAGAGCAGATAGATGACATTTAAATAGTATACAAAGCTTTTCTTCAGCTCCTGGTTGTTCCTGAGTATTAAGATGACAATGAATCATCTAAATGTTTCTCTAGTCTTGGCTCTCTTCTGAATACTCATTGTCTGAGAAGTCCATTACATTTGATTCCATATTCCATACACTTGACTGTGATGATCAATTGCAGCAAGTTCAGTGGGTGGCCACCAAGATGGATAAGGGCTGGGACATTTGCCCTATAAAGAAGAAACTGAAGAAACTGAGCTCATTTAGCCTAAGTAAGAGGGGCTTCCAGGGGAGATTATCAAGAAAGCAAAGCCAAGGCTCTGCACAGTAGTGCATGGTGAGAGGACAAAACTGAGAGACATAAATTGTAACTTAAAAAAACTATGACTTGATAAAAGCAAAAACTTTTTCATGATGAGGACAGCCAAGCATTGGAACAGATTGTCCAGAGATGCTGGATGTACAATCTCAATCCTTGGAGGTTTTCAAGACCTAAATGGCTAAAGCTCTGAGCACTCTGGTCTCATAGCAGACTCTGCCTTGAGGAGGAATTTGGACTAGAGACAACCTGGGGTCCCTTCTAACACAAATTAGTCTACAATTCTGTGTTGCTATAAATAACATATTTTACAGCAGAACATGTGCTGCCCCCAGCCCATCCCTTTCAGCCATTTTCTACTTTCAACTTTTCTACCACTTTTTCTGTTGATTCAATTATCTTGGTCTCCATCATCCCATATCCAACAGTTAGCTTCCAGGAGGTTTTTCTTTCTCATCACCTTTTGTTGAAATATGGAATCTGCAATAAAAGGAAATATCACTTTCATTTCTGTAATAAACTGATTGGGCACTTCCTTCCTCTTTGCAACACCACCTCTCCCCAGTTAACCACTGTCCCCCTGAAGCTTAGCAGCAACCAAAACTGAAATTAAAAGACCACAATTTCTACCCCTTTTTGACCTTTCTGTTATTGGGAGCATGGGTGCTTTTATCTTTTGTGGGGTATTTATGTGCACGTAGCAAATTTTGAGCAGTATGATTTCACTGGTAAAAAAACCCACTTGATCTGTAAAAAGACAATGACTAATAGTGAAACTTCTGCAATAAGAATTTTAAGATCACGTGTAGGTACACTGACTGACCCAGAGGCTGTGCCAGCATTGCCTTTCCATAGCCTGCTGCTGTATGAGAAGATTGCTATTCCTCAGACTGAAAAGGAAAAACAATTTTTTCTTTTTTTAATTGCTCACCTTTCTTTCACCCATCCTTACTACCCACTCAGTGATGAAAACAAAACTCCTCATTTTGCCAAGGAGTAGAGATTATTTTCAGAGTTCTGTTTACCTGTTTTATTTAACCCAAGTGAGACTGCACATGAAACCGTTAGATGTGTTCCCTGAGAATGATCCTAATTTATTTTGGGAGGAGAAAGAGTGTATGTTTATGCAATCTCTATGGAACATAAGTATCATAAAATGAAATTAGGAAAGCAGTGGAACTGATCTGATGCTTTCAGTTCTCTTGCAAATCATGTCATCTGGTTTATGCAGTTGCCCTCCATTGTTCATTGGGATGTGATGAACTGGTTTCAGCTTCTCTCCCTTAGGATGGTATTCTGAGTGAGATTGCTCTTCACCACTCTTTTGTCATCAAATAATTTGGGGTGGAATTGACCTTCAGATCCAATCCCCTGATGAAAACAAGTTAGAGCAGGTTACTTGGAGCCTGCTGGTCACGTTTTGAATACACCTCAGTGTCCATCTCTAAGGAACAGCATTAGTATCCAAGTGCCAGCTGGATTTCAAACCAATGTTCATTACTCTCTGAGCCCAGCAAGAGGGTGGGTTTGCCACCTTCCAAGTCCTTCCAAAGTGGGTGACTTGATTTAGCCAGCTTTCAGTAATCTTCTTATGAATATTGTCTTATCTAGCCCATACAGGAATCCACAGTTTGTGCTTAAGCATAACATATTACCTGTCTAAGCTACCTGCTACATAGATCTTCTCTTGCAAAGATGTTGAAGTACCTTTTAAGTTCCACTTGATTTCTAGGAAGCAGAGTCTTGACCTCACTTTAGATGTGGAAAAATGCACTTGCTGACAGGTTACAGATGTGATAGAGTTGGGAGACAGCTCCAAAGCCCCTCCCCTGCCCATCCCTGGGCTGTGCTTCACCATTTGCTGTACAACCGTGAGTAACCAAAAAGCACTTTTTTTGCCATCACCATTCAGATGGCTCAAAAATTCATGTATCATGGAGGGCAGAACAGCCTTGGTGAGGCTGGCGCCAATGAGCACTGCCAGAGCCACAAGCCTTACCAGTGTACTTGAGATACTCAGGATCTGGTTTCCTGTCCAAATTCCAATCCCATTTTGGCATCTTTCCAAAGCAGCCCTCAGCTGAGGCCAAAGGACCACTTATGCCTGATTTCCCCCCCAGCAGACCGGTGCAAGAGCCTCACTTCTGGTTTCATTCAGACTCGGAATGGTCCCTTTTGCTGTTGGGCGCAGTTTGACCCGCAGCTCTCGTGGCTGTTCTCCTTCAGCTGTTAGACACGAGCCACCGGCTTTGCTTCCCACGCGTCAGAAGGGGGGGGGGGGGAAACCGCATCCTGACTACTTTTAAAATACAAATAAACCACGAGAGAAACAGCAATCAGCCACGAGAGAAACAGCAATCAGGAGTGAGTGTTTAGCAGCATCAGCCAGCACCGCGGTGAGGAGCAGCCCGAGCGGCGCACACGGTCCCTCACGGCGGTGCCGCGGGCCCCGGAGCGGCCACCGGGTGGCCGCGGGCCCCGGAGCGGCCACCGGGTGGCACCCGCGCTCCGCCCGCAGCGGCGGGTTACGGGGGATTACGGGAAAGCCTGAATGAGGGAAGGAAACATTGCGGTTTGTCTCCAACAACACTTTCTTTCAAGTGCCTGGTTTCTGTTTAGAGCTCCTCTAGGCGAGTCCTGGGGGCACCAGTCCGCATGGGAGGGCTAGTCTGGGGCATCCAGATTCAGGGTAACGGGTCAGGCAACGCTCCAGTTCCAAATCCAGTGTCAGCTCTGTTGTTGATCCGGTGACAGAGCAGCTTCCAAAGTCTGCAGCAGCCAGGACACTCACTTCTCTTTTCTCAAACGCTGAGCACGGGTTGTACTGGGAATACTACAAGTTGCTAAACAAGCATCATCCTTTACACATCACTCTTCAAACACTGACCTACCCAGGGATTCTGAATAACACAGTAAATGAAACAATTCTGACGAAAACTAGGGGTGTCTTGGGGGATAAGAGGGAGTCTTTTAGCTAAAATTGTTGTGCAATCTGTCTAAATGTCCGAGTCTTAACAATCAGCCTGATTTTCAAATGTTTTCACATAGTTTTCTAAGTATGGACTTAGTTACTGGAGTTGTGACACAACGATTTGAGGTCATTGCTAACAAAATTGCACAGTTGTGGGAACACTTGCAAGACTGGAAGTGACTCAGGAGCCTGAACTAGTTGTTAAAATGCCCTCCTAGTAAAAGGAATAGACTGCAAAACCCATTACAGTTGCAACCTCTCGCTGGCAAATTGCAGCCTCATTAGTAATCTTGGCAAGATGACGGGGGTTTTACATTACTGATCCCCTTGTTAGCCCTCAAGTGTGCAACTGAAGCGCTCTTTTGGGAGCAGTTTGTGGAAGTGAATGTTGTAAATATATTTCCTTTATAGGCAAACAGATGCTCTCTGTCTTTGGAGCCATCAAACTCGTGCATTCACAAACACACAACTCACTTAAAAATAAATGGGAAGTGAAAGTAGTAGCTAAACCTGCCAAAAATGAAGATCTAATGATAATTGTAAGCACATAAATTTTGCTGCGTTTTCCCAGTGAGCCAAGACACATAAAGTAACATAAAGTAACTCCCTCTCCCCCAAAACTGTCTCTTCAGGGGTGTGGATGTTCCGTATAGTTTTTCTGTATGGCAAGGATGAGATACATATAAATATAGATAGATATAGATATATAAAATTGAAAAACATTAACAATGACATAGTGACTTGCAATGTACTCACAGTACTATAGGGCAATAGCAGTTGTTCTCAGACAGGTAGTAGGTGGTCCTGTTCAGGTACTCCACTATGACAAGAAATTTATATAATTAGGAATTGGTCTGACACAAGTGTCCCCAACCACTCCCACAGTGTCCCTCTCACCACAGTCTGGCCAGTAGCATGTGTGATGCATGTAGCAAAGGAGCAACATTACTTCTCAACTGTGTCTCAATTTTTCCCATAGGTTGTCTAAAGCAGGCTGGTTTTCCATTAAGTTGACCTGGGAAAGCTGTGGAGCATCCAGGCAGACTGCTTCCACATCAGTAGAGCACATTGGTAGGAGTTTAACACGTTTCCCAATAATTGCCCACAAATTCTTTATGAGGGACAAACAGTTTCACAAAACTTCTCAGACAATATTCCACCTGATTACAGAGCCTCAGGAAGGGTTTTTCTGCCAAGGAGAAAGAAATGTCACACCTTGAGGAGAGTTTGTCATGGGCTGTAAACAAGGTGTCCTTAGCCACACTGTTCAAAACTCTTTCTCCTCCGTGTTCTTCCTCTATTCATTAGGTACTGGCCCCTGTGTGGCTTCTGCTTTGAAAGAATTAATTATTCAAGCTGCCTACGTATCTCTTTTCAGCAAGAACTACCCCCATTGTGTTACAAGGACAAAAACCTTCCATAACAGCCAGGACAGATGGATGAAGCCTGGCAACACTTTTCAGAGGAGTGCCACACCTCTGTGTTATCAAACCTGGGTTTATTTGCAAACCTTGTTATCTTTGATAATTTAATTACAGTACTACTCTTGAGGATATTCTTGTTGTACAAAAACATCATCTTCAATTAATTTTTTAGTGTCTCATAATGACAAAAAAAACGGAAAACAGATGCAAACTAAAAGCTGAACAATCGAAAGAATACAAACTATGTCATTTAATAAAAATCTTGTTTAAGAAATGATTATATATCTCTTAGTGGTTTTTTAACATGTTGGGGATGGAAACACTGCTGTATTATTCAGCAAATACCCCTACTGGAATACTTTGTTCTTTCCATAGTGATACTGTATAAGCTGTGCTGTCTCAAGGGAATTGTAACGGTGCAGTGCTAAGATGCTGTGCTGAGATATTTGTGCCTTCATACTTCCTTTCCTGCAGGGCTTTCTGCCTCTAAAAAGATGTTTGAGTTGCTTTCCCCTGTTTCTCTCACTTCTTTGATCTGTTTGATCATTACAGTCTAACCTATTCTTAATTTCCTCTTGCTGGCCCATTTTGAAAGCCTTGTGTACGATTTCCAGTGGATAAAATTGCCATTGGGATGCCCTTTCTCTCCCTTTAGCATTGATCGTCATCAGTCATGAGCAGATGCTGGGGAGGCAGATGATCTTTCAAATGTAGCAAGGAAGACTAGGAGGAGAGTGCCTGGAGGCAGATTCAACCACTTAGAAGCATGTAGTCACACACCATGGTGTTAGCTTGCTTCAGGGAGGGAGGGGAGCGAGAGCTGAACATCAAAGTGCAATGGAAATGTAAAATCCTTAGTGCTGTGATTCCTCCTTTCATCTGTGCTTTTTCTCCTGGCGAGGTGTTGCAGGCAGTTCTGCTTTCTATGCTACTGAATAGACTCAGGCTTTGGTGAATGTAAATGGAGCTCCAGGATCAGTTTTTTTATCCTTTAGAAGTTCTAACACTCTAAAATTAATTTGAGATTGAATATTTTCAATCAGCAAAAGCAGGTACAAACAGTCTTTCTAGGACAAACAAGGCACAGGTATTCTTCAGGCTCAAGTTGCAACAAGATGGGGAAGAGCAGGAAAATTGGGAAGAATCCATCCTAGGGGACTCCATACGCCGGGTCAAGTCATATGCTGCTGCACGGTGGTGACACACCAGAAGCTTTGGTTCAGGATGCTGCCCCTCCTTTGGAGATCCTGTTTCATCCCAGCTGCAGGGCTGTCAAAGCACAGCCACATGGGGTCGGGGTGCCAGGGCCTCTCCCAAGGTCTGTGGCCAGACCTGGATCCCACAGGCACTGCCCACGCTGGGGCTGCCCCACACTGGCTGTGGGATCGAGTTGTATTCCCTGACCCCCTGTTGCTCGTGCTATTGCTTAGCTGCTCTGCTGCACTCCTCTGTCTTGTCTCTCGTGTTCCATTTGGCTTTCCCTGTACATTCAGTTACTAGAGAAAACATTGGCATCATTGTCTCCCTGTACAGCCCAAGCAACTGGTGCCTTCAGTTTGGGAAGTGCGAGCAATTCTGTAACACCTCTTTCAGTGCTCCCATAGACCGATGGTTATTGTACACGAGAGGTTGCAGTGAGAAAAAGAATGCTGCGTATGTAAAAAAACCCTGAAATGTAATATAGAAAGTATAATATAAAGTTAACACAGCAAGAACTCCAAACTGAAGGATATAGAGATCTTAAGGTCAATCTTTAAAATTTTGTCAAGAAATTCTAGAAATACTTATTAACTTAATTACTTGGAGCTATACCAACAGGCAGCCTAAAACAATAATGTTAACTTATTTCTGAAGCACTTGTTACTTTTGTGAATAGTCTTGAAATTTTTTTCCATATGTGGAGGCCCAGGCTGAATTAAGAAAGGAGAAGGGCTTCTGTAATGTGACATGCACAGTATCTGATGACCTGTGGTTCAACCTATTGAACAAACTGCTGCTGGCAAACATTTTGAGTAATCAGTTTTCCGTATGAGATTAAAGGGGAAAAAATATTTCTGCAATTTACAGATTACAGTGAGGCCTGAATAGACACTGTGTGAAAATACTTCTATGGTGGGTTGACCCTGGCTGGATGCCAGGTGCCCACCAAAGCCACTCTGTCTCTGCCCTGCTCAGCTGGACAGGGGAGAGAAAATACAATGAAAGGCTCTCAGGTCAAGATAAGGGTAAGGAGAGATCACTCACCGATTGCTGTCATGAGCAAAACAGACACAACTTGAGGAAATTAGCTTAATTTATTACCAATCAAATCAGAGTAGGATAATGAGAAATGAAACCCTTCTCTCCTTCTCTGGCTTAACTACTCATGAGTTCTCTCCCTCCTTCCCTTGGCTGCACAGGGTGGGTGGGGAATGGGGATTGTGGTCAGTCCATCACACCTAATCTCTGCTGCTCCTTCCTCCTCAGGGGGAGGACTCCCCACACGCTTGCCCTGCTTCAGCACGCACTTCCCAAGGGGTCACAGCATCCTTTGGGCATCCACCTGCTCTGACATGAGGTCCTCCTGGGGCTGCAGGTGGATCTCTGCTCCAACATGGACCTGCATGGGCTGCAGAGGCACAGCTGCCTCACCATGGTCTGACCATGGGCTGCAGGGGAATCTCTGCTCTGGCACCTGAAGCGCCTCATCCCCCCTTCCCTGGTGTCTGCAGGGCTG